CAGAGGCCTGCCTGATGTTGGCCCCATGAATCTGGACTTGCCAGTCACCAGAATCACAAGCCAAAGGTTTCCACCTTTTGTTCTTTTATCTTCATATGTGGAATACAAAAATGAAGCCACAGATGCAGGTGGTTTCCAGCAAGCATGAAGCAGAAAGTTGCATCATAGGTGAAGTAAAAAATAAGAAGGAACTTGGATTCTTCACTATATCAGAAGACAGTCTATTTTGGGGTTTTGTATCAGCTAAGAAAAGTAAGCCCTTTAGATGTTTATGGCTGTGGTATAGGGCTCACATTGTTTGCTTTGCATGGAATCCTAAATAATACTCTGTCCTTCTTTGTTCCAAATGTAACCTTGGTCACCAAAGGGTCTGGGTAGACTTTCATTTCACCATCCTGAGGATAACCATGAGGGTTGCCCTGGATGACACTTAGAGAGACCTGTGTTCTTGTAAGAGGATGGATGAGAAACTCCATTTTCTTTAAGATAAAAAGGTTGTATTTAAAAACCCTGATGATTTATTTGTATAATTCAAGGAAAACATCCTTGAACCAGGACAATTTGTTGGCATGCGTCGCTCTAAAATTCATGAGTTGAAAGTTGGTGAGCCATTCGAATGGTGTAAGAGGGTGGAAATTTAATCCAATTATATTATTAAGAGGTGGGGCCTTGGGAGTAGATTAGGATTAGATAACATCACCAGGGTGGGGTCTCCATAATGGCTGCTGATAGCTTTAAAGGAGGAGCCACAAATATAGGCACATGAGCTCTGCACCCTAATCAAGTGATGCCCTGCATCACCTCAGGACTTTGCAGAGTCCACTAACGAGGTGACCTTCATCAGATGTAGCCTCTTGACTTTGGTTCTCTAACACCAAAAAACTTTGGTTTGAGCTAAATAAATCTCTATTCTTTCTGACTCACCCAGTTTCAGGTATTAAAATATTAACAGAGAACTGATTAACACATAGGGCATGGATAATGATTGAAGCTAGAGCATACTGTTATGGCTTAGATAATGGTTTATCCCCCAAAGTTTCATGTTTTATAATTTGGTCCCCAGTGTAATGGCATTAGAAAATGGTGAGATCTTGGATATGGTGATATTTAGATCATGGAGACATTGTCTTTATAAACAGGTTAATGCTGTCATGCAAGAGGGGGTGAGTTCTATCTCTTTGAGAAGGAGTTATCTTCCTTTGAGGACTGGTTGTTATAAAAGAAAGATGGCTTGGGGCCAGCAGGTAGCGTGGTGGTTAAAGGCGCTGGACTCCCACATGGCCAACCACAGTTCGAGTCCCGGACCTGGTGGTTTGCTTTCTCACTTCCTCTCTCTCTCTCTCTCTCTCCCTCCCTCTTTCTGTCTCTTTTTGGTCAAATTGAAATTAACAAATGAATAAATAAATAAAATAATTCTTAAAAAAAAAAAAAAAAAAGAAACATGGCTGGACCCAGGTCTCTCTGCAGGTGTCTGCCATCTTTGCTGCTTCTGTCAGCTATGTTGTGATGCCTGATGTTGGCCCCATGTGCTTGGACTTTTCTGCCACCAGCATCATAAACCAAATAAACCTCTGTTCTTTACAAATCACCTAGCCTCAGGTATTTCTGTTAGTAATGCAATAGCAGACTAAGACACATGCTAAGTCCATACCTAATTATCAGAGTATGGTGGAATAAATGATGTGAGAAGGTGATGAGTATTGGAAAGAGGGTCATAGATTAAACCACTTTTTACAGTTATTTACTTCACTTTTTGAATAGGGGTATACTCAGTCCAGCCTATTCATATACATCTTGCCGTGCTTCTCTTGGAGGTGAAGAGGAAACATCATGCCTCACAGACCTTAAATTTGATGAGGTGCTATGCATTGGCCAACAAAATATGACTTTCACACAGAAACTCTAACCATCACAAATTTCCATCTGAACATTTGCTCTTCTCCTGTGCCAGGAAAGTTTTCCTCTCAACTGGGTTGCTGAACAAAGAAATATGTGGAGTAGACATATAGCCTGGTTGCAGTTAATCCACAGCTGAAACATAATATATGTCAGAAATAAAACTTTCTTGTTGTAAACCAGTATGACTTGACAGTTTTTGTTACTGCAGTAAAACCAGTGAATACAGAGAGAAACCTACAACCCATTGATTAGGAGCAGTTCATGCAGGAAGTTGCAAAAGTGCAAAAACTATAATCTTAGGAGGGAATTGTGATTAGAAGCTGCAAAGTAGTGTCAGGCACTGGAAAATGGGAACTAGGATATGGTTTGGTAAATTTGTTAAGTTCTGCCAAACATTTTCTTATATATTATATGGTAAAGTGCTTTTAAATAGGGTCTCTGAGGCCAGAGGCATGGGTTCTCATCCCAGTTGGTGTATTTGTGTGCTGTGTGCCCTGATCAAATTGCATCAAGTCTCCTTTAAAATAGGACGATAAACAGGATCTAACTCATTGGCTGGTGTACAAGGAGGACTAAGTATATTATTATATGGTATTTCAGTGTTTAATCTCAATTGTGTACTTAATAAATACTAGCTAGTATTAATGTGGGAGGTCCTTCTCTACTCCCATTATTCCACATAACTCTATTTTTAGCTTTCTCTAGATCATGAAAAATGACCAGAGCTGGGAACATAAGCCATGACCAATGGATGAACATCTAGAAATAATTAGGACAATATAAATGAAAGTCTGAAAAATATTCACAAAGCTGAAGGGAATTGTACAATGAACTCTTTATATCCAGCACCTAAGTACAACTATTATCTACTCATGCTTACTCTCCCAGTGCCACCTATACTCCCTCTTCCTCTTTCCTTGTAGATCCTCATGAATAAAATTCCAGACATCATAGCATTTGGTTAAATAATTTTTTAAATAATTATTTTATTTAGCATTATTTATTTATTTTAATTTGACCAGAGAGGGACACTATGACAGTAATAGAGAAAGAGAGAGAGAGAGAGAGAGAGAGAGAGAGAGAGAGAGAAGGTGAGAAAGCAAGCCGCCTGTTCGGGACTCAAACCGTTGTCAGCCATGTGTGAGTCCAGCAACCTTAACAAACACCTGCCAGCCCCTGGTTGAATAATTTTAGAAAATAGTTTTCAATTAGCTTTCTTTTAATGAGGGGCTGGCAGGTGGCGTGATGGTTCAAGGCACTAGATTCTCTCGTGAATGACTATGGTTCAAGCTCTGGATCTGGCAACTTGCTTTCTCACATTCCCTTTCTCTCTCTGTGTGGTCAAAATTTAAAAAATAATAACAAATGGAATGAAATAAATAGATAATTCTTTTTAAAAATTTTTTCTAATGAAAGATAACATGGTTGGGCTCTTACAGTTTCTTATTACGCTTTAAGTAGCATCAGAAAATTAGAGTATAATGATTGACTGGTGGGTGGGAAAGCACCTGCTAAAGCACAGCGTGTGGGCTGTGATTGTGGTTGGAGCCACGAGCCTGCCACACATACTTCCCACGTGGCTTCCGGGCACATCTTTTTGGAGTGCAGCAGTGTGCATGAGATTTTTAAGAATAGCACTTTACAACACCTGAACAAATCAGTGCCCAAAACAAAATCAACTTATTTTATATCATATATATA